AAAATACCTCTGGCTTATAAACAGAAAGCATACTAATCAAAGGCAATATAATTCTGAGGATATGTTGAGACTAGTGCCATTTTCTAGTCAATTAAAATAATGGCAAAGCATCTTTCTTGATTCTATAGCTTATAAAAGCTCCCAATTCTGTAAGCTTTACAACAAGAATTAACATTTTTAACAAACAGTTCTGAAATATGGGCTTGTCCCATAGGGGGCAGCATGGTGTAGCTGAAACAGCTTGGGCTAAGAAATCAGAGACCTGGATTCAAATCCCAGACAATAAATTGTAGGTATCACATTTGATGTTATTACTCTTATTATAGAAAACTTTAGTGGGGATGTAAACCTTTTCTATAAGTAAGCTTATCTATGCTCCTATATTTTAAAAATGTCAGTGTCCTAAAAATCAAAACTTGGCAAATGAAGAACTTGAGAGACAGCTAATTTACATTCCCAAAGGATTCTATGATTTACCCAATAATTTTTTAAAGAACTCTGTTAGTAGATTTCCTCAAGTGAGTTTTGTAGATTCCCACTTAGCTGGACATACAAATAAAATGCCATCCCTGCCATAAGCTAGTTTAGTGGGGGAGACAGATACATTAACAAAATTTCATGGTAACTGCATATATGCTATGATGAGGAAATGTATAGGGTGCTGTGAAGTCTATCGGATGTGTTAACCATAAACCATAAGATCAAAGAGACCTTCCTGGAGGGGAGATGGGGTGACAAAATACTGAAGGATAAGCAGGAGTTGAGCCAAAAAAGAGGAAAGAGGAGAGCACTTATGGGCAAAGGAAGCAGAGTATGCAGCTGTATTGTAGTTCAGGGAACTGTACGCAGTCTGGCTGAACTCAGGATCCAAGAACATTGTTTAGCCTTTTTATTTTCTCATTAAAAAAATACTTATTGGTTATCCACCAATAACTTCAGGTACTTCTTGTACTCTTGAGGTAATAGGGAGGGATATAGTGATAAAGTAAAGTTTCCACTTCCATAGAGCTTACATTCTAGAAAAAAATGGTAATGAAAACGTAAACAAACAAGATAATTTCAGAAAGTGAAAAACTTCCAATATATAATGCAAAACAGGAATCAAGATGAGCAGAGGAGATGAGCAGGGAGAAGGGAGAGTGTTGAATTCTCTAAGATGATCAACAGAGACCTATCTGTGAAGATTACATTTGAAGCAACCACAGAAAAAGGAGCCAGTAATGCAAAGATCTGGAGTTGGAATATTCCAGGCAATAAAACAGCAATAGGCCCTGAAGTGGGTCAGGGATGAAAGAAAGCCAAAGTCACTGGAGCAGAACAAATAAAGGGGCTACTGGTGAGAGAGAAGGTAGAGAAAAAGGCAGGGGACAGACCAGGCAGGGGCAAGATAAGAAGTTTGGATTTTATTCCACTTGTGATGGAAAGCCACTGGAAACTTTTAAGCAAGGACTGATGTGGTCTGAATTACTCTTTAAAATCAAATCTGGCTTTTGTACGAAGAGACCATAGTGGGACAATACTGGAATCAAGGAGATCAATTATAAAGCTAGCAACAGAGGGATACCAAGTTTTCTGGCTTGAATGTCTCTGGATATCATGATGCCATTTACGAAAAAAAAAAGTTAGAAACAAGCTTGGGTAGTTGGGCATGTTGAATCTGAGTTAGTTTCAGGACATTCCACACAAAAAGAAACATGCAATAGAAAAGGATTATGGGATCTGGAGCTCAGGAAAGAGAAGTGGACTAATAACATGGATTTAAGAATTGTTGACATACGAATGATGTAGCTACAAAAATGCTTGGGATTCCCTAGACAGAGTAGTTAGAGTATGGAGAGGAGAGTCTGAAAGGATCCCCGTGGAAAGAACAGCAAGATTTTTTAAAGCAGGAAGAACCCATCAGAAGAAGATAAAACAACAACAACAACAACAACAACAACAACAACAAAAACCCAGAGAGTAGTGTCACAGAAATTAAAGCATGTCAAACAATAGTGAGAGCTTAAACAAAACTGAAAAGCTTCTATTGGGGTCATTTATTTTATTTTCAACAAGGGAGTCATCCGTAATCTGGAGACAGCAGTTTGTGAAGGGAAGGAGATATAAACTGAACAGAAGTAGATCAGGAAGTAAATGGGAGGTAAAGGAATGGGACCATGATGATACACTCTTCAAAATCTTGGCTGTTGAAGAGAAGAGTGAGGGAGGGCAGTAGCTAGAGAGGTCTGGGGTTGAAAGCGCATTTTTAAAAGGCAGGATAGATATTCCCTCTGCTGTTCGACAATTTACATAAATCTGCAAACAGCTCTTCCATTCTACTTCCACCTTCATAGCCCTTACCTGCCCTCTGCTCACACAACTTTCCCAGAATTTTATCTTCTCTTGGCCACGGGGTCCTAAGAAGGTCCCCCTTGGCTGTATGAGGGTGGCCTCTCCTGTGCCACAGAAGTGCCAAACTCTCATATTGGCCAGATGACAGGTTACACGCACTCTCTACTGGGAGGATCTGGCCAATTACATTTGGATTTTATTATTAATCTAAAATGTGAGTGATCATCATTCTGTTGCTTAAAATATAACTCTCTCTTGGGTCCATTTATTTCTCTGAAGCCAAGATTCCATGGGCTGTGAAACACAAAGACGTGGAGGGAAGCAAATGAAAAATGGAACCCAGTGACAAGGAAACAGTTGAGAGCTTGGAGAAGCATTTAGTGGTCAGATCCCCTCACAAAAGCAAAAGCATTTCAGAGCAATGAAATCTGCTCCTACATACTCTAGCCTCTGCACTAGTGTGGCTACTTTTATTTGGAAACCATTTACAAAGAGGAAAAAATCCAATTTAGAGAAACATCTCCAGTGGGTTGCTCAGAGAGCAAACTTTGCAATACAATTCCATTCTGCGTGGGTAGGGTTCACCTAACTTCTGAGGAGCTGGCTGGAAATACAGAGCCTATCACAAACCTGCCAACCCAAGATTCTGTTTTAAGCTTGTGGAGCACCTTGGATTTGTTTGTGTATATCTGTGTGCGGGGGGGGGGGGGGGGGTGAACTCTTTAACTTCCCATTTCTGTGTGGTTTTCAAACACAAAGTAGAACTCCTCCGAGTCAATTAAAATTAAGCATCTCCCAAGGACCCAAGGGGGAAAGTTGGCTCCTAAGAAAGGCAACTCATGGCAGGGGGTGGAATGATTTGGTCCATCACATGTGTATTTTCTCTCCCACTCCTTTTCTGTGGGTACAGTGGTCACAGGCAGCAGCAATTTTTTTTTCCGATACTGCTATTTCTCCTAGTGACACATGGGTGAGGCAACAGAGGGGAGGGGGGTGTTGTTTCCTTCAGATGCATTTGAAGATTATTCTGATCTTCCAATCTGGTAACCTTTTTCCAGATGATTTTAAGATCATTACAGTATAAACTAAACAGTTCAGAAAATCAGCAGGAATCTGAAGATGTTATTTCTCTTGGTAAATTAGAAGGTGAACAAATCCCTGAGGTTCTCCCCATTTATTTAAATTCTTCATTTATAAGTTATTTAAATTCTACTCAAACACAGTGGAAACAGATTCAATGAAGCACACAAAAAAGTACAAATTTGGACACTGATACATTAAAAATGTGAAGATAGATTTTAGGGCAAATATTGCTTATTATTCCTTTCTTTCTGTCCTGCCATGCCCCCTGCCTTTAAGAGAAAGGCAATAGCTTTAAATCAATTATTCTTTCCTGAAATGTCATCTCTACATAACGCCCTCAAAATCCACATCAACTCTACTCTGCTGTTGTTGGCCTGAGCCACAGAGACCAGGAATTGCAACACCCATTACAATGGCAAAAAGGCCAAGCTTCCTAAGCCAGCACTAATACTATGGGCAGAACTTTCATCAAACAGCTCCTGGGTCAGTCAGAGGGGAAACACAAGGTTCTACCAATGCTAGCCTGCCCAGTGGGCCCTGTAAGGGAAATTGAGGAGCACAACCAGGTTTATTAAAATAACAACTGGGCAAGGTGCCTACAATGCTTAATGGAGCATATGGCCTGGATCTGGGGATGGAAGCTGCACTTTGCATTCTTTTCCAGGAAGGGAGGGAGTGGCAGTGGCCTAAGTCCCTGGAAACTCTCCTCAGTGCCCTGGCTGGCATCCTGGAGATTTTCCCAGCTTGTTCTGGGAGGGGTATCCCACTCTAAGCAATAGGTTCCACTAAGTCTTATAATAAATAATACAACCACCATGGAAGTCAAATATTTAGATTCCTACTAGAACAGTGTTTCCCAACTGTGGGTCCATGAAACGACAAGATAATATTTACCACTCCATACCCAAGCCTTTTTTCCCTCTCCTTGGGTTATGACAGTTACAACCAGCTCTTCTTTTAATTTACCTCCTATGTCTCTTGCTCCTAGGAGCTATGGTAAAGAAGTTAGTTATATCATTTACAAATTCACTGCTAAATCTAGGTCAGGAAATACAGTACTGAACTAGATCACCACCAACACAAGACACCATACAAGAGATTATTGTTCTCCTTTATTATCAACAGCATTCTCACAGCAAAGTCTTGAAGTTTATCTGATTACTGGTCTATATTTTAATGAGTCACCTCTTGATAACGTTTTCTAGTTATTTTCTCAGTATTTAAGGGTAGGAAGGCACTTAAAGTGTTTCTAACAATCTAACTTAATCATCCTGGCACCTGTGAAGATACACAATATAATACCAACATGCTGTAGAGGAAGAAAGGTTCAGAGGGGCTAAGTGATTTGCTCAAGATCAGATACACAGTCAAGGAGCAAGATAGGACTTCAGCCCAGGTTTGTCGGATTTTAAGACAGTTGTTCTTTCTGCTACAACTAGGCTGACCCTTAAGTCAAGCATCACCAAATATGAAACAAAATAATTTAGGTGACTGTTTTCAGGAATTTCTATGGCAGATTACGTAAATTAGCTCTTTCCAGGCTGCTTTCAGTATTGTTTTTAAGAGGCAATCAAATCTCACAATTCTTTATGCTCCCAGATTTCAATATTTATTTTAGTTTCAATCAACTCAACGTAACTTATTTTACTGAAAGCTTTGTATGCAACAGAAATAGCACAAGAAGCGAATAATACAATGATAATTAAGTTGCAGTCTTGTTAGGAGATCCTCATGGCCTGCTCAAATGTCAATGTTCAGATTAGATGATCTAGAAAATACAGAAGATTCTGCATGCCCCTTTGCTTGACTCCTTCTTTGGTCCATTCCTTCACTGCCTGACTTCTTCAACATTTACTGAGCAGAAATAAGTAAGACATAGTGTATGCCTTCTGGAGTTCATAGTTCAATAATGGAGATAAACATGTAAATGAATAGTTTATAATAAACCTTGATAAATGCAGTAACAGAGATATAAATAAAATGCCATAAGAGCCAAGAGAACGGAGCAACTAACTTTACCTGAAGGAATCAGCACGGCTCTTCCTGGGAGTCTTAAAATAGGATTCCCCATTGAAAATTAGAAGGTCAGACCTTTGAAGCACACCTTCATATACTCCTTAGTCCCCTGCAAACACTAAATCAAATGTTCAGTATTTGTATGCTGAGAGGCAAAGTATAAACTGCTCTTGCAGAGTGTTTTACCTGACTGTGGGCTGGAAAGGGAAAGAAAGTGCCACAAACTCCTCAGCAATTGCTTATAGTTACAGTCATATTTACTATCAGACTTCTAGTGGATTTAATGGTGGCCCTAAAATGATTATGTTCGTGTCCAAACCCCCATAACCTGTGAATGTGACCTTATTTGGAGAAAGGGTCTGGGTACACATGTAATTAAGGATCTTGAGATCATCCTGGATTATCAGGGTGGGCCCTAAATCCCATGACAAGTGTCCTTACAAGAGACAGAAGAGTCTATATGAAGACAGAAGTAGATATGGGAGTGATGCCCCACAAAAAACACCAACAGCTGGAAATGGCAAGAAAGCACTCTTCCCTAGAGCCTCCAGAGGGAGGGAGTCCAGCACAAATGACACCTTGATTTCAGACTTCTGGCTTCCAGGGCTGTGAGAGAATAAATTTCTGTTGTTATAAGCCACCCAGTGTGTGGGGATTTGCTATAGAAGCCCCAGGAAACTAATATAAAACTTAACATGTTTCTCTAACAGCAGCAATATCAAGAAGCTCTTACTAAAAGTTGAATTAATGTAACTCAGTGTGCGTCCCACACAAAGTAGATTAGGTAACGAGGACCCGGCCCTCAGGAAGCTTCCATGGAAAGCCATGAAAATGCTACAGTGGGGGCACCTGAGTGGCTCAGTTGGTTAAGTGTCAGCACAGAGCCCACTTTCGATCCTCTGTCCCCTTCTCTGTCTGCCCCTTGCCCAGGCGCTCGCTCTTTCTCTCTGTCTCAAAAATAAACGTTAAAAAAAAAAATGCTAAAGTGCATAGGAGCATGGCAGGCCTTTGGAGACAAATCTGCAGGCGAGTTTCTATCCTGCTACTTACCAACTGTACATGAATTAGAAAATTTAATAAGCCTAAGCTTTAGTATGTATTCTTATCTGCAAAATTAGAATTGTTATAAGGACTTCTTCACCAAAAACCAATGCCAGCACTGGTGCTCACAAGTGACCACTTCTTGTTAGGTCCGTTAACCTACCGTTCTTCTATCTTTAACAGTTCCCTCTCCAGTGGTTCCTCCTCTACCCACAAACATCTTCCCCCAACCTTGCAACGCATCAGGCTCCCATCCCATCTCCTCCAGGGATTCTTGGCCAACCTCTCAAGCTTAATCTGTCCCAAATTAAATTTACCATCTCTTCTACTGCCCAACCCAACCCAAATCTACTGCCTAACCCTGATGCAATTTAACTTCTCTGGTTTAATGCTGATACTATCATTCAGACACTAAGCCTTGAAACCTGCTAGTCACTGCAGGGCCTTTACACTTGCCTCTCCAAGTTGTCTGGAGCACTTTTTCCTCAACCTTTCACATAGCTGGTTCCTTCCAATCATTAACATCTTACCTAGACTCCCTTTTCTACAGGGATTCCTCCCTTAGCTACGTTAGCAAAAGAACCTTCCTCCCAAGTCACTCTCTAGCTGAAACCCAGTTTCATTTTCTTCAGAGAACTTTGCACTATCTGAAATTAATCTTATGTGGGGTTTTTGTTTGTTTGTTTGTTTTTGTTTTTTTTTTTTTACTTATTTAATCCTTTCTCTATGCACTGTGTAAAAGCAGATACCATATCTGCCTAGCACAAAATACATGCCTGGTAAACATCTTTGAATAATTTTCCTGGATTTCTATTTTCCTCCACATAACCACCACTCTTACACAGCCCCACAACCTGAAAAAGATAAATATTTAAAAGAAACATAGCTCGGACCACAGCCTTCTCATTGGCCTCCCTGCTGTCTGTTTCCTCTCCATCCAATTCCTCTTATATCCAACCTGCTACATAATTATCCTAAATCACACCTCTTGTCAATTACTTCTTCAAAATTCTTCAATAGCTACTCATTGATACAAAATTCTTCAATAGCTTACTCACTGAGTACAAAATTAGGTACAATCCTTATCTAAGATTTACTACTCACTTCTGGCTCCACCCTACCTTTTAAAAAATTAAATTCTCTTTTGGCCATTTATTTTGAAATAGAGAAACAGTAGGTTGCAAAGAAATGTACAGGAATTCCCATGTACCCTTCCCCCAACTTCTCCAACATCAACAACTTACACAGCTCTTGTACAATATCAAAACCAAGAAGCTGGTACAATCCACACAGCTTATCCAGATTTCACTAGTTATGTATACACACTTGTGCATGCATGTGTGTAACCGTGTGCATGCAGATGCACACAAGCACTCAGGCTCCCTTGTATAGCTCTTGTATCACACGTGTACTTGGGTAATCACTACCATAACCAAAATATTCAACTGTACCATCACCACAAAACTCCTTCTGTTCCCCCTTACTCATCCCCCCATCCTACCCCTGGCTACTACTATCTATTCTCCAGCTCTATAACCATTTCATGAATGTTACATAAATTGAATTCTTTATTTTTATTGATAAGTAGTATTCCATAGAATGGATGTACCACAGTTTATTTAACAATTCATTCACTTAAGGACATTTGGGTAGCTTCCAGTTTAGGGATAATACAAATAAAATTGCTATGAACATTCACATACACAGTCCTGCATGAAAATAGTCTTAATTTTCCTAAGATAAATTCCCAAGAGTGCAACTGCTGGCATCTTACTTTTGTAGCCTCATTTTTCCAAAATTCCTCCTGTTCCCATATCACAGTCAAATAAGACTACTTGAACTGTTTCCTCTTCTTCTCTGGTTTCTAATCCTCTCATCATTTGCATATTTATTATTAATAGCTGCCTAAACCACTTTTTCAAAGAGGATGAAAAAATAAATTAATTTATGGGGTGCCTCAGTGGCTTATTTGTTGAGCATCTGACTCTTGGTATCAGCTCAGGTCATTATCTCACCGACATGAGATCGAGCCCCATGTCGGGCTCCTTTCTGAGCATGGACCCTGCTTGAAATTCTCTCTCTCCCTCTCTCTCTGCTCCCTCCCTCCCTCCGTCCCCCTAAATAAATAAACAAACAGTTATTCACATGAAGGAAAAAATAAATAAAAGATGATGGAGTATTTTATCAATCCTGTCCCACTGCAATGTGATCTCTTTCCTATAAACCTGCATCATATTTGCTAAACTTCTCTTATAAAATGTATGTTCTACCAGTCTCATAGATGCATATATGCCCTATACTTCCATTACAACAGTAAACTCCCTGGAGACAGATCATTTCTTATTAATTTCATATTCACTCTGGCACCAAGCACACTGTTTCTGTTATAGCAGGAGCTCAAGCAAAACAGAATCTTCATTGTTGAATGAATGGACGAATTAAATATATTTGCCCTAAGAGGGCTCTGATTTAACCAGGAATCCAGGATGTTATATTTGCATTAAAAAAGACAACTAATAATACAAGTCTATACAGGCTAAGTGCCAAAGGACAATAAAAGCAAGAAATGTTAGAGAAGTGCAGAGAAGGCAGCAATCTTTTCTGGGGCAGTTGAGGAATGCTTCTTCAAGAAGGCTATTTTTGAGGGAAACCTTGAACAGATGAGTAGAACTCAGAAAAGTAGAAAAGGGAGTCCTTTTTGGTAGACATTATTTAAGAACAGTATATGGACTGATCTCATTCTTTGTAGCTTCTGGATAATATTCCACTATACAGATGTGCCCAAAGTTTTAACCTATTCTCCTGATAGTAGACATTTAGTATGCATCAGTTAGAATTAAGTTTGGATCCATGTTACGGAAAATCCAAAAGGAGTGTCATACACACAAGATACTTTATTTCTCTCGTGTGAAAGAAGCCCACACGTAGACAATTCATTGTTGGTATGTGGACTCCATGGTCTTCAGACTCCATGCTCCATTTTTCACCTCCACCACACTAGCATATGGCTTTTTTTCCCAAGGTTGCCTTATGAGCCTAGCCAACACATCTTGTTACAGGCAACTGAAAGGAAAGAGAAAAAAAAAAGGGGCCTACCTCAGAGCTAAGCCAGCTCCCTTTTTGCAGACTTCCAGAAGTTTCACACAATACTTTCAGTTCTACATCATTGGCCAGAACTTAGTTATATGGCCATACCTAGCTGAAAGGGAAGCTGAAAAATTCAGTCTTTCACATGAGTGCATTGCTGTCTCAAAGGAAATTTAAGATTTGTAACCAAAAAAGGATAATAGATATTGGGTAGCAGCCAGCAGTTAGAGAGAAAAACTGAAATCTTGCCCTGCCAATGAGTAAGCACACACATCATCTTCCATAGTCAGGAAAAAGAGAAAGAAAAGAAAATGAAGCACTTCACAACCTGACCCTGAAATAAACAAACAAGCCAAGAAAGAAGGAAAGAAAGAAAAGAAAAGGAGTACATCTGGTTCTACTTCCTAAAATAGAAGAAACTTTAATCCTGTTTGTGTAAATTACTAATTCCCTTACAAAACAAAATTTTTCCCTGGAGTCTGCAATATTCTTATGATAACCATGTCCGATTTCCCACCATGAACAAAGTAACTATAACCTTGTATTCCTGTGGGTTTTTACTTTAAATACCTGTTGTATTTTTTAATCAGCAAGCCAGTCCTGAAGTTGGACTCCCTCACAGAACTTTGCAAGTAAGCTATTTTTCTTAAGTGATTTTTCTTTTCCTAATACTTTGGTGCCTCGAAGTCTTCCCTCACAGCAGTCTCAGCCACAGGATTATTTCTTATTTTCACTATTATAAATCCCACTGCAGTAAACAGCTTGTAAATGCCTCCGTGTATACACAGTGACAATTTCTCAAACATAGATATCTAAAAAAGAACTTGCTGGGACAAATGATATGCACATTTTTAATATAGTCTACTTAAAAATGCTATTGGCAGAACGGTACTAGTTGATCACACCATCACTATATGAGCATCCCTGACTTCCCACACATCAACAACACATGAGAGTATCCCTCTTTTCATTTTTAGCAAATCTGATAGGCAAAAACATGCCTTGTTGTTTCAACCTGCATTTCCCTAACTACCACCTAGTTAGTAATTATAGTCTATCTAGGTTGAACATCTTTATTATGTTTATTGACCATTTGTATTAATTATTCTTTGAAGGACGGGTTATCATCTGCCCATCTGGATGGTCTTCTTATGGATTTAGAGAAGTTCTTTATATATTCTGGTTATTAATCTTTTGTTATACATATTATCACAGTTTTCTTCCAATCTATCTCTTACCTTTTTACTTTGTTTATAGTATCATTTGTTTTACAAAGTATTAAACCCTGATGTAGTCAAATTTAGCAGCCAATTCTCTGACTTCTGGGATTTTGTCTTGCTTACAAAGACCCTGCCACCGCAAAATTACAAACATATTGTCTTCTATTACTTGAAGGGTTTGCCTGTTACATTTAAGCTGCATGAAATTTATTTTTATATATGCTATAAGGTAGGATTTTCTCTAATTATTTTACTAAAGGGATA